AACGACCATTTATATTCCTGCATTTGGAGACACACCTATGGTCCAGCCAACATAATGCACTTGGTTTTTTATTTCCAAGAAAGAGAATCTTAACATGGTTTACATCATATACAGTGAGGGTTACAAAGGTGTAAAAATTAGAAGAAAAAAAAAAACTAACATGTTGGAGCAAACAAAGGCTAAATTATCTCCTCAACAGATTATAGGCAGGTAAATCTTTTACACTGGAAGTATCTTCAAGAGCGAGCTCACGTTCTAGCTGCACTCTCGTGGCCTTCAAAACCTCCTACGAAAAGGAAAGTGAAAGGAGAATATGTGTTGGTAGAGGTAAATATATGAAAAGAATCCAATGGAATAGTTTAGTGTTACCAACATTAAATTCCATATATGATGCTCGTTTTGCTAGCCATTGTGCATCGAGCATTTCAAAGGCAATACAAAAGATGTTGTCAAACGCCATGTCATCTTCGCTGAGTAGTTCTAGAAAGCGGATACCTGCAAGGGTGCTAGGTGTCCCTGCCACTCAAAAAAGAGGACGGCGACTTATCAATAGAATCTTTACTTATTCATCAAAAGGGAACATGCAAGAACTTGTTACATAAGAAGAGGAAAGTTAAAGATGGAGGATTTTTCTAACATTCATGCGGAGCAGATCGAGGACAGAAATGATACATGAGACATTGAGACCAACTTATTGTTCCTATTGTCATTAGAAAGAACGATGATACTAGAGAATATGATTACACATTAGATTTTCAGAATAACCAGTTCAGGACGATTTAATCACAACATTTGATTTATTTGAAAGGATGTATTGGAAGCTGTTGAATGTTTAAATATTCACCATATATTTCTCAGCCAAAAACATGAAAGACACTAACTTCTAACTGAACTTTCCGTACCTGATTGAAGATCAAACATTTGGACCAACATAAACGATATATTGATGCCAGCTACAGCAAATGGATACTCCCACTCAGATCTGTTTCCGTTTCTTTTGTGCAACAAGTTCCGGAAAGATTCCTGTAATAGAGCAGGCGATGAGGGAAACACTATTAATGAAAAATTTACTTCCCTGCTCTACCAGACACGAGAGCATTGGTCTCAAGAGAACTCAATTATGCTTTTCTAAAAAGCTATATATATCAAGCTCCATGAAACACAAAAACAATCGCCCAAATATCAAATATATTGCTCAGCTGGAATCCACCCAGTCCATGCTGGAGCACTGTTACAGTTGAGGGCAAATACAAGACGATTTTCTTATGGCAAGGGTATGAATGGCTCAAATTATAACAGTAGGATAAAACTAAGTTGCGTACAATAGAGGGGTAAATTCCCAATACAATTACAATCATCTAGTTTATTTGTACCAAATAGGCTTCAAAGCATGTAAGGTGGGAGGAAGGTAAATAATATGATGTACAAACCGGGTATGTCTTGGCAAAGAAGATAAGGTTCTCCAATGATATGAATCCTCCACCCCTGGAATTTACGCTCATAATTTTAGTATAAGAACGACAGCAAAACAAAAATGTGAATCAAATATACACTTCCTCATATACCTGAAGTCTGTTGAAGGGTCAGATCCTTGCCAACCCATTTCTTTCCAAAGCTCAGATTTAAGAGATGGGAGCTGCCTATCGGGATAAGATAACCTCCATAGTTGCCTAAGAGCATCCTGGCACCAAATTTGGATTTTTAGTTCTTCACAAACATATAAAACAATGAGGCACACATACAAGAGACTATTATCTTGCAAGATAAGTTTAAGAGACATAATTATCTCCTTCTCAAAAAGAAAAATTATATGTGATCAATTAAAGAATGCAGCTTGAAGTCTCCTTTCTATTTTCTCATCACGAGTCCAAACTAAGGTTGCTTGATCTCAAAAAACCATAGTAAGTCATGATATCTTCTCATAGCAAACCAACCATCTAAAGAGTGAAGCTCTAAAAGGCTAGTATGGAACCTTAAATAACTTTGAAACAAGGAGCTTTCAGACTAATAAACTTGAACTGTCCATTGATCAGAACCATACAGCATTAACTACACAAGTCAATTTCTCATTCCTGTAATTGCTGCAAACTCTTCCAGTGCTAAAGAAAACCAAAAAAAATAAACATCTAACAAAAACACGGGGTAAAGTTTACATACTTGATGATCTGAGGAAGAACCATCAAAAGGGATCGCTAGCCTTTGCTTGAGATGTTTGAGCCTTGCTTCCTGCAATCAAATGTCAACGATTCAATGACAGGAATGATTGGAATTATGTATCAATAGATGACACACAATTAGGCTGTAAGGGAGATAGGTTGATGAGTTTAATGGATTTGATTCTTTTTGGATGGGGATATAAGTGATGGACATGACAATACAAACACAAATAAAATATCACAAGGTAAACCACAAAATTTTCATGTGTCAAACCCCTGCAGACTCCAACAAAAAGAATGGATTTGAAAAGCTCTAGGCAACATTTTAGCAGAGATAGTTAATATCATATATCTGCAAATGAAAGGAAATCAAAGTTCAGACATTTTGCTCTTGAATCCTCATGTATTACCTGTAAAGGGCTAAGTAAAGGAGGTAAAAGATTTGCTGTTGATCCAGCTTGAGTTGAGGCAAAAGGAAAAATCCGGCCAAGAAGTGACCCAGACACAAAGACAATATTTGCTGCAAGACCAAAGGATAATGGATCAGAAAATTTGAAGTCATTAAATTTTTTTTGAGAAAGGTAACATAAAAGTCATTAAAATTGTATATAACAGATTTGAGAAAGTTTGGGAAGTGCCTATAACAGATTTGAGAATCCTCATAGACATTCTTCCTTTTGAGGTTTAGTATATGGAGAAAGAGCGCAGATGCTAAAACTTGAAGAAAGGCATTTCACCTAGCCTACCATCATCGCTCTCTTCCACCTCAAGGAACCTGCATATCCCCCTAAATTAGCCTGTTCTCCTTTTCTATTTCCCTAAGGCCCCCGAACCATTTCTTAACCTAGGATTTGTAACAACTAACAAGGTACCAAAAGTCACAAAAAGGTCTAATCATCTACCTACTCTTACTGCTTTCTGCACCATTCGACTTCTTCAGTGTTTCTTCTCCTACTCTAACCTAACCTCTCACATGATGCTTTCTGTTCTACTCATACAGCTTCGGTCGTTAATCCATAAGGGAAGAAAAATACACAATGTTGTGATGCCCTATCTTTTAAGTAGTTTTAGGTGTGTGTAAGTAATTGCATTGCATAGCATGCACATTGCACAAAGAGCATAATATCAAATTACAAGCAAACGGTGTAATTGCATTGCACAACATGCACAAAGAGCATAACATCAAAAGTACAGACAAACGAAATCACACCTAACCATTGTGCCCATTGAGAAATCAGATGAGAAAATAGCAGCGTCCAGTGCAGACGTTCCCGCCTTCGCCCTTCATCCAACACTTCTTCAAGCGTACTTACCTACAATTCAAAGAATTCCCATTTCATAATCTCATCCAAATCTTCTCTATCAAAGCACAAACTCCCAAAAGCACAGACTTTTAACAAAATAACTCAAAATATCATCAACAAAAGCCTCAAAAAGCAAAATAAATCCCAACCCATTTCACAATCCAATCCAAATCTTCTCTATCAAAGCACATAATCCCAAAAACACAACCTTTTAGCAACATAACTCAAAAGATCATCAACAAGAAGCCTAAAAAAGCAAAACAAATTCCAACCCATTTCACAATCCAATCCAATTTTTCTCATTCACAGCACAAAACCCCAACAAGGGCAACTTTTAGCAATATAATTCAACATATTATCAACAGAAAAAAAAACAGAAATTCACCTGATCACTGTCATCATATTTCTGGTACCCAAGTAAAGGCTCATTCAAACCATCATCAGAGCCCAAAGAATCAAAATGCTCATTCTTTTTGCCACCAACATCCCCATGATGAAGCCTTCTCCTCAAAGTTGATGTCATGAGTATATATATTCAAGAACTCAAAACCCCACTTCGAATTCTTCAACTGAAACCCAAAAAAATGGAGAAAAATCCCAAATTCTTGATGTATGGGATATTCAAAACCCCTAAAATTCAAGAAAACGACAAGAAAAACCTCTTATTTTGGACAATTTTGTGTTTTTTTTTACAGTATATATTTATATTAATTGCTATTTTATTTTTTATTATTATGTATATATTTATTATTTGTCTCTTTCTTAGGAATTAAGGGAGGAAATAGGTGATAAATATACGCCAATGAGAAAGCTTTAACAAGCTTGAACATTGGGTCAACTTTAATTTTAATAAATAATAATTAGTTTTTTTAAAATAGGAGTAATAGTTTTATGATTATATTTAAAAATAATTTAACTTTGAATTTTTTATTCTATCATAACTTTCTTTTCCTTAAGGGAGAATCAAGCAGTGGAAATATCTTGAATTAAACTTGAAGATCTAGTTATAGATCGGAATTCGAAAGTAAATATATCGTAAACATGATTTTTTTCTTCGTCTTTATTGGAGACTTCAATAAAAAATATAATTTACTTTTTTACTTGGTAAGCATTTGGCTATAGCCAAACTTCGATGGCATTTTCTTTATGACTTCTAATCATCTTTTTCACTTGAGAAATTCATATATTTATGTTTTTCTTTATTGTTGTCTAAAAAAAAATGTTACATTAATGATTTATACTCAAACAAATATTTAGATTCATAACTTCAAATTTTTTACTTTCAGAAGGCCTATCAAATATTACTACAAAAACTATAATCATATAAACATCTAAAAATTATCCTATTTATGAAGACTCGACTAAGAATATATTTTGATATGAATAAATGATTCCTAGCATCCCAACACAAATAATGTTTCTCGTTAACACACAATCAATTTGGAATATACATAATATATCACTCGTTGCACTAACTCAATTATGCGATAATTTATCTAGATATTGGCACGGATAGGATATGTTTTTTTTTTTTGGGCCATTGCAGGGTATTGAGAAAATATGGCCATTGCAAGCTTTAGTTTACCTTTTACATATCTTCAAAAACCTTCTTCTTGTTCTTGCAGATGCAGCAGCTCGTTTGAGAAGCCAATTTTTGCCTTTTCTTCTAATGGTATAGCCAACAAAGCTCTGCAGGAAATTCGAAATTCTGGAGTTATCGCTTGCCTTCGAGCCCAAAAGTAACTATTTTTGTTTAGTTTTTTTGATAATTAAAGCTAAGTTATGTGGAATCTGAACTGGGTTTACTCTGATTTTAGTAATAAATTTGTGTTAACCCAACTAATTCTTGGGTATGGTTAGTTAGTTAGTTACCATAAGCTTGTTATATTTATCCTTAGAACTCTGTTATTTCAGCTATATGCTCCCCATTTGGTGGCCATAGATGTTGAAGCTGAATCTTGAAAATTTGAGTTTTTGAAGTTGTGTTTGAACATAGCGAAAAGATTTGAACTTTTGTGAGTGGAAGTCCCTACAAATCCTAAAACTGGTCTGCGCCCGTTTTTTGGGAACGTGGAAATATTTAAAGATTGGATTCTCAAAATTTGATCAAATTTTTCATGGTCAAATAGATACCTATGTGTTCACTTTTACTTGTCCTGGACTTTGCATGTCTTTTAAGAAATAATGATTAGTATGAGTATTTTAGTACAATACCTATATTAATGTATAGCCTTAGTTCGTGGAAAATGACTCGGGAATAAGTGATTAATGATGAGGGTAAAATAAGAAAAGATAATTATGTCTTTTTGATATGTTAAAAGTGAGAAGTAAACGTTAAAAATCTATTTTTGGATTACTGTACAAGTGGAAGTCTTTTTATTGTAGAGTGATTACATTTGTAACAGAGCATTTTTCTCTTTAAATTTGGATAAAGAGTTGTTCTGAAAAAGGCTTAGATTATTTAGGGAAGGAGAGCTTTTCACCATGCTATTATAGAGATTTAGTTCTCAATTGCAGATTGTTGTTTGTGGATATAAGCAAAGTTTATCTCGGAAACAAATAGTACTTTTTAGCATCACATTTTCCACTCCATATTTTTGGTCATTTCAAAATATCTTAAAAGACATGGAAATGTGAAGTTGCACCTTTCCATGTTGTTTAGTGCAGACCTGGCTAATCGAGCTGCACGTGCAGCATTGGATGGTGGAATTTCAGCTGTAAGTTTGAATCTATCTGATATACTTATCACCCCATCGTCCCAAGTTCACTGTCCACCTTTCCACCTTTTGAATGAATAGTTTATTCAGAGTATAAAGAGGTGTTCTGATAGTCTTTATCTTCCAACATTGCAGCTGGAAATTGTGATGTCCACTCCCGATGTTTTTGAGGTACTGTGAGACATGCAGTTGCTTACTCTTTCTCAGTCTGGAAAGCAGCAAACATTTGGCTAACTTATATGCTACTTTTCCTTTATGCAGGTGTTAAGAAACCTAGTACTTGATTATCCGGCAAAAACTTTTGGAGTAAGTATTCACTAGCTTCTTTAATTCACACTATTTTTAATTCAAAGAAAAGGAAGGGAAGAGAAAGAAAAATAGGAACTTGTTGCGTTCCCTCGTGGGGGAACTTCCCTTGTTGGATGTCTGCTGTAGCTCAATGGAAGTAGAAGAGGTTCATTTCCCTCATTTTTTTTCGAATTTCTTTTTTCTTGTTTGGGGATGAGGGCGGGGTTAAACTTGTTTTTTACTTCCCGAAGGAGGGAAATAAGTCTTTACACTTTCTTGGCTTTACCCTTCTACCATATCCTCTCTTTATCGCCCATCAAAATGTGGCGTAACTTCAATCTCATTATCCTCAATGTGTCTATTCTCGGTAGGTTTTCAGATCCTCTGTTATTGTATTCCGAAGTTTTTAGATTTTACCTTGGTTCAAGTGCAAACTTTAATTTCTTTAGTAGTTATTCTTTGTTTGTGATTTGCAAGACATTCTTTCTCGAGGCAATATATTTGTCTGTGGATAAGCAGGTGTGCCAACAGTAAGGGCATGCAAAACATCCTAATACCATAATTATCTAATTATCAAACTTTGTGTATTGTGGACTATGTGTAAAACATAATTAGGGCAGACTACCAATTGTAATTGTTTAACACACTTTCTCTATGTTTGCAGGTTGGAACAGTGTTACAGGCTAAAGATGCCAAAGATTCTATAAAGGCTGGAGCTAAGTTTCTTATGAGTCCTGCAACAGTTATGGTATGTGCTGGTGTTTCAATCTTATAGATCTTATGCCAAATCCAAATGTCTATTTAAGTGTGTATCTTATACAAATGAAATATCAGTTCCTGTTACCTGCGATATGTATATATAGTCGTGAATGCCTAAATGGTAGTTATATTTGTGACCATGGTGACTTCTTTACTTGATTCTTGCATGTTTTTCCTTTATCTCAGGATATTCTAGTTGGTGTCTCAGAGAGTGATGTTCTGTATATACCTGGGGTAATGACCCCCACGGAGGTATTGGACTATCTTGTCCTTCATTTCATCTTGTGATCTTAGAATGGAAAAGATATCAGGATTTTGCCTCCAAGGACTTGGGAAAGGGCAGAGCCCCTGCCAAGTTCTGTGTTTTTAATGCCCGTCTGTATCCCACAACTGGGGACAGGCATATTCTTGAATATCGACAAGATTTCATGTCATGAAAATATTCAGATTATAACAGCAAAAGAGAGTAATGCAATTGTTTTATAATCCTGCAGATATTATCTGCTTTCAGTGCTGGTGCCAGGATTGTCAAGGTGAGTCATGACTATTTTTGATCTTTCCCTTGCTCTATGGTTTACCACTATAGATTGCGGGATTTCTTGAATATGTTTGTTTTGTTGGAGAGAAGCTTGATAAACAATTGAGTTTGCGGTGATCCTTTTTACAACTTCCTTTTTTTTTTGGCTTTACATAGGTTTATCCCGTCTCTGCACTCGGTGGTGTTGGGTACATTTCAGCTCTGAAAAGGCCTTTTTCTCATATCCCTATGGTGGCATCACAAGGCATAACAATAGGTTGGTTATCTGAATAGAAATTTCTCGGTTATAGACCCATGTTTTAATTATTATCTCTTTCTTTTAGATTAGTCATCAGTCTACTTTCAAAATTATCATCTCAGGACATTTCAAGAAGTTGCCTTTCATTTAGAAGATGAATTGAAATATCTACTTCACCTGTTGGTAGTAATGAAATTCGGAATGTTTATGCTAAAATTTGATCTTCAATAAATTCTTATGGAGCATATGTTGATATTTGAAATGAATAATGCAATGTTTCTCTAATCCGTCATATCTCTCTTGCATATTTTACTTTTCCATAGCAGATTAACTATCTACTAGTACATTTTACGAGAAATGATGGATAGTTGTGCTTTAGTACAGATTTGATCGAGCAATACATTAGTCAGGGAGCATCAGCAGTTGTTCTATCAGATGCCATATTTGACAAAGAGGCAATGAGTCAACGGAATTTTGATAGAATATATCAACTTGCAAGCCATGCAACTTTGCAGGGTAAACAAGTTGTTGAAAGGTTAGAATGTTAGGTGCTGATGCATCTTTCGATTTGTTAAAACCTCATGGAACTGCAAGGGTTAATGAGAAGCGAGAAATCAGATTATGCCATCTGTCATCCTGCTTGAAGTTTGGTAAGCAATCATGTGCTTTTAACATTTAAAGTGACTTTCTATATATGCACTGAGCTTGTCCCGTGTTAAGTTATGTCTATTATCTTGCTTGTACGTTTCTAGAAAGATTAAGACCATGTCCCTCAAATGTAAAGAATAGAAGCCAAGGTTCACAATCGAATATGTCCACATCAAGTGATCAAAAATACACTTCCGTAACACTCAAATATGGAGCTAGACTGTCACGGACTTAGAGTCTTACTAAAGCTCTGTGCGGCACTTGACAACTTATTCACTAATCTTTCAAGATCTTGTAAGCTCAAGTAAGCCCAGAGTTTTGGAAGAAGACTTTATATTGCTTGGAAGATTGCTTACAACTTTCTTGGATGATTTACAAATGATAGCCCCTCTATTTATACTACTTCCTAGGGGGCTAAAGTGTAAATAAAAATGACTTTACAAGTTCCTAAACTATTTACACTTTGGTCCTATCTCTAGAATACTCTACACATTCTAGGATATTCTAAGGTTTTCTTGAAATATCTAAGGGCTTCTAGAGTTCTCTATAAACCTCTCCACAACTCTAGATTCTTCCGCCCTTATCCGGATGCAAAATTTAACTGTGAAGTGGCGGGACGTGACACAGACACCCTATACCTTTCATTTGAATGCTGCATCTCGCGTGTCTAAATTTCATTCTTAGTATAACCTTGACTTGTTATCGTGCAGGAAAAATTAACTGTGCTGGTTTCGGTAGGGAGAGTTTTACACCCTTAGTGAGCCTCAGAGTGAATCTAGATTAGTCGGAGCAGTGGACTTTGGATATTAGATGGTTAAACCGAAAACAAAAGCTATGTTGGTTAGTTCGTCTGTCTCCGATTTACAGTCAGTTGCAACATGTTGTGTATATGTCGCAAAGGGTGCTGACATGCCAGATTACAAGCAATTGCAGATTGCTAAATCAGTTGTTTTTTCATAAATTCATTGTTGTTTTTGTTTCACTATCCTATAATGTTGCTGCATTCATGTTGAATTCTCGAAAAATAATACATATTTTTAAAGAATCTGACAAGTATCCGTCAAATTTTTTAAAGAGTACGAATAACATAGCTTGTATTACCTTGTGATATTTGGAGATTAAAATTTTATAGCATTGTGAGGGTTAGTGATGCCAAATGCTTATTACATTAGATGTTTGCCCCAAATCATGTTATTTTAACCATAATTAATTGGTGTTTGAGTTGATAATTAATATATTTGACGATTAAACTCTTTTATGCTCTATACAGTACTTTCTTTGACTATATTAGATATGGAACCACAACACTAATTAACATCATATTAGTTTAAACAAATTCAGAATCAAAATAATCAAAGCGTTATACGAAAATTAATAATTGCACACAATAAATCAGACAATAACGAAAACAGTATAAAATATGAGTTGGTCAATTGACCTACATATAAAAAAGAAAAAAAATCTGGTAAAATCGTAACGATACCTAAGTTCTAGATTGTCATCTAAGGAGTTCACATATGGAAGAAGAGACGCGGAGTCAATAAGAAGAGTGATGTGGTTAACAATCAAAACACCTGTATGACGACTCTCCCAAGATTTCATGTAACAAATTTCTTCCAGGAACGGAAGCATAGCAGGAATACCTAATGTAGATGCAACGATGCTAAAAATTTGAGCAGTCATGTTCCTCACATCTTCATTAGAGTTGTCAATATCGTCCAGCATTACATAAATCATACTAGCTATACCAACTTCTTCACTAAGATGAGATATGATTTCTCTACCCTTAATACGAACATTGTTATCTTCATCAATTAACAAGGTTCAGTCAAAACGAGAATTTTTTTCACAAATCTGTTTTTGTTTGGTTCTGTAAACAAATTCAGAATACCAATAGTCTTCTTCATCGAAATCAACAACTGTTCCATCTTCTTCGTCTAATTGATCTTCTCAAATCAACTTTTACAAGGCAAAAATTTACTTTTATTGCTTAATTTATTAGAACTATCGTAAAAGTAATTTAAATCCCATTTAGGATTTGTTAATTTATTACTGCCATAAAAGTAATTTAAATCCTATTCTGTTTAGGATAATAATTTTTGTTAATTTATTACCATAAAAACTAATTTGAATACTACTCAATTTAGGATAGATTTGCCTATATCTTGAGGGTGACTTTTGTTCTTTTTATCTGATCAAAATCAATTTACGAAATTCTAAGAAAATTAAAATGGAGCAACAATTAGCTTCAGAGAGGAAGAAGATAGCTACTCTGAATTTGTCTACAGAGTCGGAGAAAAAGAAAATTGTGAAGAAAATTCTTGTTTTGACTGAACCTCTGTTAACTAATGAGTACTACAATGTTCGTATTGTAGGTACAGAAATCATATCTGATCTTAGCAAAGCTGTTGGTATTGATACTATGATTCATGCAACGCGTCTCAATATTGACAGTCCTAATGAATATATCAGGAATGCAACTGCTCGATCTTTTAGCATCGTTGCATCTGCATTAGGTATTCCTGCTATGCTTCCATTCCTGGAAGAAATTTGTTTTAACATGGAATCATGGGAGGCTCGTCATACAGGTGTTATGATTGTTTACCACATCACTCTTCTTATTGGTTCCGCGTCTCTTCTTCCATATTTGAGCTATTTGATGGAAATCATTGAACCTCGTCTTAAAGATGACAATCAGAAAGTCAGGGACATTACGACTGTTACCATGGATGGTCTTGCTAAAGCTGCTACACTATGGTATTGAGAGTTTCGTTACGATTTTGCCTGATTTTTTAAGAGGAATAGTTTGAAAGACGTTTTTATTTCTCATACATAACACAATAGTATATACAATATAGTTGTCGAACTTATAAACTTTTTAATTTTTCATATGTAAGTCAATTGACCAACTTATAAAGTTTTCATTATCGTATGATTTATTGCTGATTATTTCGATCCCAACAAAAAATCATTTGTACATAACTTACAAAAATTTCTGTATCCGTGAAATAGAAGGTTAATTACAACCACCATCCTAGAATAATATGTTTATTACTGAACTGGAGATTAACTATTTAAAGGCAAAACTACTATCTATGTATTATAAAATTATAATTCATAAATGTTAGTGTATGACTTTATAATATTATCAAAGAGGTATGGTGGGACAACTTCACTAATTGAGACGAATTTAGAATTTGAAATTTATAATATGGAAGACCAAAAACATTTGAATTGGTAGTTTTGTACCAGTTCAAATAGTTGAGGGGCATTTTTGGCCCTTCTCTGTTTTAAAAATACCCTCCACAAATCAATGGCAAGGAAGCGGAAAAAGATAATTGTGTCTTAACCATGCTAATACATCCATTTGCAATGGTTTGCCATATACTCCCTTAGTCCCAAAACAAGTTTCACCTTAGTAAATATCACGTCCATTAAGGAATCAATAAATACAATGTGTAGTTTACTAAACTAAAAGGGAAAATGCATAAGTACCCCTCAGTCTATGCCCAAAATTCATGAGACACGCCTAACCTTTATTAAGGTCCTATTACCCCCCGAACTTATTTTTTAATTAATTTTCTACTCCTTTTCGGCCAATGTGGCACTATCTTTGAAAAAATTGTCAACACGCGTTAGGCCCACAAGATAGTGCCACGTAGGCCGAAAAGGGGTAGAAAATTATATATAAAATAAGTTCGGGGGTAATAGAACCTTAATAAAGGTTAGGTGTGTCTCAGAGATTTTGGGCATAGGCTGGGGGTATTTATGCAATTTCCCAAACTAAAATCCCTATTTAAGTAATGTCTCTTGAAAAATGTATAAGGGTATAATTGAAAAAACATACTAATTTTATTTAGAATTCACATAAATTATCTCAAATGTGTCGCATAAATTGGAAGAGTATGAATAAAGAAGATGATTCTGACGATAGCGATTATTCTATAGGCTACGATTCCGATGATCCTATTTTTGAAATTTTGGAAGGTAAAGCAGATCGCAAGATCTGGACGCAGTATTACAGGGAGTAGGATGAGAGCGAGGTAACTTACTCGTTGTTTGGTACGCGGGATGAGATAATTTCAATTCACTTCATTCATCATTAGATCGTATTGTAATTGAGGTTACTTTTTGGTGCAACAGGGTTTTGATATCTCTGTCTTTCCGGGTACCTCTTCTATGGCTGGAATTGCACAACAATACGATCACCTGACGAGTCCAAAGGTAAAACAGGAATACACTGAGCTGTGCAAATTGGCACTTAAGAAATTCAATTCAGAGAATGTAAGTTCTTGCCTTGTTCTTTTCGTTTGAAATGGTTAAATATATATATGGATTGTGTGATTATCTTCTATTTAGGATAAAATGTATGCTTTCGAAGAAATTGTAACAGTAAATGCATCGTTTGCTGCTGGGACGTGGTATTATTTCACCTTCAAAGCCAGTGATGCTACTATTGAAAATGCTGATGCTGATGCAATTAAAACTTTTCAAGCATTGGTGTGGCATGGAATCGATAAAATCATTGATGTGAATTTTTGCAGCCTTAAGAAATTTTTAACTAATGAAGGTAAACTCTCTACTCTGTTGATCATAATTCTTAACAGACTTTATTCAATAGGATGTTTGTAGTATTCTATATGTAAATAATAAAGGCAGCCCGATGCACAAAGTGTTCTTCATTAGTACACATACTGGAAGCATGTATTCACTAGCTAATTTTATCTTGAAAGTCATTTGGTCATTTACTATTTATAAGTCGTATTCCATTTGTTGTTGTGTCGATCACTTTTTTTGTCTTGATGTATCAGTGTCAAACATGTGTGACACGAGTACGGGTACTTGGTGCAGATTTAGTTGATAATATTGAATGTATGCACAACTTATATATCTATTTTAGAATGTGTTATTTCTTCTGATGTCTATATTGTCGACACTATTAATCTCAGATAAGAAGAAAATGAGAGAGGAAAGGAAGAAGAAACTTCAGCAACGTCGTGAAGCAGTTGCAAAGTTTAAGCAAGATAACCCTTCTCTTGTGAAGTCCTTTGTACCTAGATTGGTCATAGAGGAGTTGTCTAAGGGAAAACCAGGTGGAAGAAGGGCTTACCCAGGATTTAAGGTCTAGCTAATTTCTCTCTTGATTATGCATAATTAATTCTTCTCTGACTCTGTTGTTCCGTTATTAGTAATGACTTTCTGCTACTGAACAGATTGGTATACGTTATACTTGCAAGCTGAAGGAGAATGACAAAATATTCGGTACGAATATTGGGAAAGGAGACCCTCTTGAATTTCGTATAGGTATTGTATTTGATGTATGAGAAGTTGACTTTTATTTATTTTGATGCGTTAAACTTAGGTTTTTGTGCTTGCAGCTTCTGACCAACTTATAAAGGGATGAGAAATCGGTGTAGATGATAATTTACTTGGATAACTAAATTGATAATTTGACTGACACGTCCAGTGGTGAGGACTAACATATTTTGTCCGTCCAACTATCAGGCATGCGCGTGGGGGACAAAAGAAGAATTACAATCCCACCAGAATTAGGGTATGCACAGTGGCGGATTCAGGATTTGATAGTTGTGGGTGCTCAAGCCAAAAAAAATTTTCTTTGTAGAAGCTTACTAATATTTTTAGTTTAGTTAGTAAATGAAATATAAAAGATAAAAAAAAAAGTTGGAAAACAATTTAAAATAATATAAGCAAAAAGTCAACCGTAAAAATCTATGTATAAAAGGAGGAGAAGAAAAAATGACACATGTCATTACCACAATTTTTTGAATTTTAAATATTAAATCATTTTAAATAATCAATAATAAATAATTATTTAAATAAATATTGAAACATATCAATAATTACGATTAGATCCTATGTAATTGTATGGTAGTTACAATACCACAATTTTTTAGTATATTTTAGCTTTTAGATATTTTAGATTTAGACCCATTTACTTATACGCAACTACATATAATTTTAAATAATCATTTTTTACAAATCATTTAATCAAGGAAAATTGGATTCACAATTTTATCATTTTTAATATACCCATTTATTATAAATGAGTATATATTTTACGTAAGGAGTCTAAATATATCAGTATTTTGTATTTAAAATTTATATCAAAAAATAAATATATTTTTACAGATATTGGATTCACAATTTTATCATTTTTAATATACTCATTTATTATAAATGAGTATATATTTTACGTAAGGAGTCTAAATATATCAGTATTTTGTATTTAAAATTTATATAAAAAAATAAATATATTTTTACAGATAAACACAAATAAGACAGTTTTATAACTCCTTAAGATAACTTCTCAATAACCATCCACTAAACAAGGAATTTTTAACTACATTTTTCACTGCATCTTGAAAGTCATGTATTATATATAGATATTTTTAGTAATAACTTTACATTATTCTATTATATTCAATAATAAGTGGCTTTGCAATTTAACACAATCTCAAAAATTACATCCAAATCAATGCATTGGAACTTGAAAGTTCGTGTTATTCGATTGTGGATAGTTCCTGATAAATTCAAAGCAGAAATACCTTACTCTTTGGAGATGATTTTACAAGACGAAAAGGTCGAGTGAGGATTTTGATTGCGAGAAGAACACAAGGTTATATGCAAATATTGAGTTATTGAAGTAACTCTAATTATACCTAAACAATATTTGTCAAACATTCAAAAGGTAAAAATTAGAATTAATACATATACCCTCTATTTTGTTTATTCTTAAAATTTATTTATCAAATTCTTATGTGCAAATCATAGAGTATTATGTGAAGGTCTTCGTTTGTTATCTTTGATTATCTACTTCGAAGTTATTGTAAACCTTTAATCAGTTGAAGTTAATCTGAATCAGTTTGATGCTCATCTAATTATTGATTTGCAATTGTATATAATTTATTACTCCATTTAAAAGGAGATGCACTTTCTTTGTTTCTTTTCATTAAATTTATTAAAATTTGACTGTGTTAGATTATTTTATTTTTAATTACTTGAAAGTGATGTATTTTTTTTTAGTTTAGGCTTTTCTTATCAATGCTAGAAGACTATATCCTAAAACAGGATGGGTTTGGGATGAAAGCACCTATATTTGCAGTATTTAAAAATAATAATATTATAAAACTGTATTTTGTAATGAAAGTACCTATACTTGCAGTATTTTAAAAAAATAAATATTACAAAACTGTATTTCGTAAAAAAAAAACATAAAAACTAACATTTGAAATTTAACAAAAAAAAAAAAAGTAATGCAATAGAAACTGTGAATTGACATAAAACACACAAGTTTAATATAAAAAAAAAAAACATACCAATTAACAATTTATTTTCATTTTAATTGATATATAATTTAAGAAGTTCTCAATATTTTATACTTTAATTCATTGAAGTTTAATTTTAATTGCATAAAAAATTTATATTATAAATGCATGCTTGAAACATAAAACCTATTGTTATTACTTATGTGTTATATAAAATAATTTATTAACTATTAAAAAGCTAATTAAAAAACAAATATGCGTAAAAACAAAATCAATTTCGGATTATTTTCTTATGCATAATTATATGTTTTAGTCTAATCTTAATTATTATTAGTTTAAAAGTTCCTACACACACATTAATGGAAAAAATAGTTTTAGATAAAACAATTTCATAACAATACCATCCTTTACTACGGAGTCCTATAATCAATGAAAAACTGTGTTGACAATCTTTTATTTTATCAGTAGTTATCTTCATATAACCTATAATCTATAAGTTCTATCTTTACCTATATATAAAATAATCAAACTAATAATAATGATAATAATAATAATAGATTTCTGTTTAAATTAAACTAATAATAATAATATAATATAATATAATATAATATAATATAATAATACTTATAATAATGTATTATTTTATTTTAAAAAAAACAACCAACTAAATATGTCCTTTTAATCTTTATTTTGAAAAAAAATAGTAATAATTATCCAACTAAATAGGAAGTTTTAAAACTTCCCATTACACTCTCACTTCTAAACAAATTGAAGAAATTTTAAACTATAATTATTTATTTTAAAATAAACCATCGTATGGAAAAAATTATGGGTTTTAATCTTTATTTTGAATTAAAAAAAAATACCCAACTAAATAGGGAGTTTTAATACTTCCCATTACACTCCTACTTTCTAAACAAATTGAAGAACTTTTAAATTAAAATTATTTATTTTAAAAACCCCAAGTACGAAAGTTTCTTTTAAAATTTACATTTAAATATCATTTAATATTTGAAGTTTTATTTCAGATTTTTTTTTTTTTGCATTTTAAAATAAATATTTTCTTAATAACATATAACCTTTTATCTAACAAATAGAACTGATGATAATGATAATGATAATGATAATGATAATAATAATAATAATAATAATAATAATAATAATAATAATAATAATAATAATAATAATAATCCAAGTATAATGTTATTATAAACATAATTTAACAATTTATTTTCATTTTAATTGATATATAATTTAAGAAGTTCTCAATATTTTATACTTTAATTCATTGAAGTTTAATTTTAATTTCATAAAAAAATTTATATTATAAATGCATGCTTGAAACATAAAACCTATTGTTATTACTTATGTGTTATATAAAATTAATTTATTAACTATTAAAAATCGAATTAAAAAAAATATGCGTGAAAACAAAATCAATTTTGGATTATACTCTTATGCATAATTATATATTTTAATCTAATCTTAATTATTATTACTTTAAAATTTTCTACACACATGAATGGAAAAAATAGTTTTAGATAAAAACAATTTCGTAACTCTCCATTCTTTACTATGGAGTCCTATAATCAATGAAAAACTGTGTTGATAATCTTTTATTTTATCAGGAATTATCTTAATATAACCTATAATCTATAAGTTCTATCTTTACTTATATATAAAAAAAGCCAAACTAATAATAATGACAATAACAATAAATTTATGTTTAACTTAAACTAATAATAATAATAATAATAATAATAATAATAATAATGTATTATTTTAAAAAAAAAAAAAAAAACCATCCAATTAAATATGTCCTTTTAATCTTTTTGAAAAAAATAGTAATAATTATCCAACTAAATAGGAAGTTTTAAAACTTCCCATTACACTCCCACTTCTAAACAAACTGAAGAACTTTAAATTAAAATGATTTATTTTTATATAAAAAAAACACATATGGAAAAAAATATGGTGTTTGAATAAAAAAAATACCCAACTATAAACAAATTGAAGAACTTTTATATTAAAATTATTTATTTTACAAACCCCAAGTATGAAAGTTTCTTTTAAAATTTATCATTTAATATTTTAAGTTTTATTTCAGATTTTCTTTATTTTAAAATAAATATTTTTTAATAAGATATAACCTTTTATTTAAAAAATATGGAACTAATAATAATAATAATAATAATAATAATAATAATATAATAATAATAATAATAATATAATGATAACGATGATAATAATAATAATCTAAGTATAATGTTTATTATAAACAATATTTAATGTCTTCTATGTTTTTTTTATTATTATTATAATTATGTATTTATTTATTATTTATTTTTACAGATTTTCAACCTTAGCACAAGATAAATGAGGAATTGTTTCTATCACTGTCATAACATAGAAGGCATTAAGTTATGTTTTCATAATATTACTTTTAAAGGACAATCAAATTTCAAAATTGAAAAATAATACTATGAGAAATAAAATTTAAACTTGAATTAAGATAAATAATATTTATCTATATCTAGCTAGCGTTGAATTCTATCTTGAACAATATCACTATTATAAGTCATTTAGCAAATTTAAGACTATTCACAATATATATAACAAAATTAAATTAAGTTGAAAATTGCAATTTTAAAATATACTATAAGTTTTAAATTTTCAATTTTTAACTTTTTAAATTTGAATTCAAAGATAACTATCCATATATATATATATATATATGTTATATTACAATAAATTAAATTGTGTACTAATAATGTAAATTTAATATTACTCAAATACACAAGTTAATGATTTGTATTATTATATTGTTATTATAATAAATTAAATATATTATTAAGTGCATTATATATTTTATTAGTTATTTTTAATTATAAAATTATTACATTTTAAATCATCCGCGCAACGCGCAAGCACATATACTAGTATATATAAAAAGAACAGTAAAACAAATTATGCAGGAAGAAATTTCAGTTTGCTTTTTACAAAAATAAAATAAAATTG